CGCGCGGGTGGGGGCAGGGGCCGCCGAACGCGGCCTCGCTGAACTCTCAAGCCACGCCCTCCGTAGCAACAGTTGCTAGGAAAGGAAAGCTCCCTTCCCCCGCCGGTGCCGAGCCGCTGCCCAGGAGTCGGGCGATACCTTCTACCGGGAGTGCGGTGATCATGAGCGTCGTTGGGGGAGAATCACTCTGCACAGAGAAATTCCCTCCTGCTCAGTGTGCACACGGAACTGAAGTCGGCAGTACCTCCGAGCAGAATCATTCATTTTAATTACAGCTCCCTCTCCGCATCCTGCAATCGCAAAGCATTTTGCAGAGTGGTTGCTTCTAGGTCTCCTCAGCCTCACATTTTGAGGATCAGAAGCAATTATTGATTTCCAATGAGGTCGCAGAAGTTCAGCAGGAACAAGAATCTCATTAAGCAGTGAGAATGTCTGAACATGTGTTTCTTGAAGACCCGGGGCCACAGAGCTGTAATCTCCTTAATGGAGATGACCAAGAGTGTATTCGACACAAATAGTGTTAGCCTATCAAATCTATATCAGAAAATAGCCACTACCAATGACACGGAGATTCACCAGTTTACCCATCTAGGCCCTAAATTCTATTTTACTCACAATGCAACTGAAACCTACACACCTGCAGTGATTAGCAAATAGGAGAAAATAATGCCATTATGGAGATACCATTCTCAGGGACATTTGTGCTTTCTACATTTTGTCTGAAATAGACATCTGAATTTCTACTCATATTTTTCTCAGTCCTTTGGCTGAGGACTTCAGAGAGGGCAGTCTCAATATGACACCTGTATACAAATGCCAATAGACTTAGATTCTGAAAGCCACCTCTCCGACCTACGGCTATGTGACCTCATCTGTAAAACTATCTTGCCTACCTTCCAGAGGTACCGTGGGGGCAGTTGTGAGGTGAGTTCATGCACGGGAAGGAAGTCACTTTGTAAAGAACAATGCATGATCCAATATGAAATATTGCTACTCATTCTCTTATTCAGCAAACAAATGTGCCAGGCACTGTGCTAGGCACTCGAGAGTTTAAAAATGAATAACCCAGCCACTGTCCCCAGGGAGCTCATTGTCTGGAAGCCTGTGTCATTCCCTACAGCAGTCTCTCCAGCCTAGTTTGTCTAATCATCAGATGGAAACTCACAGGACATTAAAGTACTTGCCTCTTGAGTAGACTGGCTGGAGAAATTCCAAGCACTCCTACGGGCCTGCATCACCCTGAGGAGAGATCAAGTTCCCAAAGAAGCAGGGCAGAGGAGAAGAGGGGCCCAAATCTCACCACGATTAGGCTTTAGGACTTTGTCTAGATAATTCTGAGTCTGTAGACATGATTTGCATGGTCTCTGTTATTTGGCTGTCCGTTGGCTATGCCGACAGTCCCCGAGACCTCCACCAGCCCTCCAGGAAACAAGGACTTCCATTGGCCCTTGAGTTCAGAGAGACTACTGGTTCGCACTTGTAATCCCAGCACTTTGGGAGGTCGAGTCAGGAGGATTGCTTGAGCCTAGGAGTCCAAGACCCAGCCTGGGCAACATAGAGAGATCTCGTCTCTACAAAAAAATCAAAAAATTAGCCAGGCATGGTGACGCATATCTGTAATCCCAGCTACTTAGGAGGCTGAGGCAGGAAGATCACTTGAGCCCAGAAAGTTTGAGACTGCAGTGAACTGTGACTGTGTGACTGCACTCCAACCATGGCGACAGAGCGTCACCCCCCCAAAAAAAACAACAAAAAAAGAAAGTTCTGACTCACAAACTTAGTCCCCCACCTCACCTCGACCCCAACATTTATCCAGTGACCTCCCTGCCCATGGCTTTGCCAGGCCTGAGGGCTCCTGTTAGTAGAAAGATAAGAGGAATAAGACGGCAGGAGCTAGCAAAACACCCACTCACACACAGCCCCTTGGCCAGGGATGGAATGACCCCACCACCAGTCCAAGACCTTGGCATTTCTGCCACGTGATGTTGATTTCGCTACCAATTACCACTGCCGCCTCTCGGCAAGACCTCCTCTTTCAAAAGGAATTGTGTTTCCAATTACTCTTCTGAAAGAGGATGAGACATCATGCTCAATAGAGCTCATTAGAACTCTCCCCTAACGTGGTTAAGGCATGAGGTGCATTGCTGGACACAGATGCACAGTTTTCCACCGTCCCCTCTTCTGTCTCTGCTTTCCAGCTCAGGCGGCTGAGCAGGGAGACTAGAAAAAAGCTCAGCTGTCCCCAGCAGGGACTCTTCTTGATACCATGAATCTATTGTCTGCATCAGCTGGAAGGAGTGAATGACACAGCATTTTTGTAATGGGAAAAATAACTTCACAGGAACTCAGAAGGCTTGGCTCTGTCACGAATTAGTTGAGTGACCTTTTGCCAAGACACTTAGCGTCCCTGAGTCTCCAGCTCTTCTTCCACGGAGCTTGAACTGAATCTTTAAGGTCCTTTCTAAGAGTCTAGGAGTGTCAAATCCTGGAAAAATATGGTTTGACACTCATGGCCGGTTAAAGCTATCTCCCCCAAGTCGCTGCTCGTGGGTATGCAGGATGGGGAGTGGGCAGAGTGATGAAAATGCTCTGAAATTTTATTATGGCCATGGTTGCACAACTCTGTAAATACACTAGAAACCACTGAATTGTACACATTAAAACATGTATTTTTTTTATTCGTGGCAAAATACACTCAACATAAAATTTACTATCGAATTGCTTGAGCTCAGGAGTTCAAGACCAGCCTTGGCAAGATAGACCCCCCCATCTGTATTTAAAAGAAATGTTTTGCCATCCTAATCTTTTTAAGGTGTACATTTCAGTGGCATTAAGTGCATTCACAATGTGTGCAACCGTCACCACCATCCATCCACAGAACTCTTTACATCTTGCATGATCAAAACTGTGTGCTCTGTAAGCACTGTCTTTCCCCCTCTCCTAGAGCCTGGCGACCACCATTCCACTTGATGTTTCTCCAATTTTTGATTACTCTAAGTAATCAAAAATCACATTATATCTGTCCTTTTGCAACTGGCTTATTTCACTTGACGTAAAGACCTCAGGGTTAGGCCTGTTGTAGCATGTGTCAGAATTTCCTTCATTTTTAGGGCTGAATAATAATCCATTGTCTGTATAGACCACATTTTGTTTATCCGTTTATCCATTGACAGACACTTGGGTTGTTTCTCCCTTTTGGCTACTGAGAAATGGGTGGATTTTTTAAATATGTAAATTATACCTCAATAACGCTGTTAAAAATTATATCTCCCCCATCTGCCATGGAAGGGGTCTGAAAAGATTCCCACTTTAGGATTATTTAAGGAGCCTCTCAAGGAAGCTCATGAATTTAAACTAGCTAGAGGCATTACTTTCTATGAGATCAGTCACCTTTTATTGGGTATTTCTCTAGTTGATTATCTCATTATGCCATCCGTTGTCATTTAGAAAATGTCAGGGAGTAGGAAAATGCCACAAGAAACAGAGACTGGCCTTCAGGACCTCCATTCAGTTTTGACCCAGGCTGGCCCAGTCTGCAGGTACCCAGAGCCCCAGACACAGTCTGAACTTTCCCATCAAAGAGCAGCTGGGACCCAATGTGTCCAGATCGTGGCCCAGGGACAAGATGATCATTACACTATATCTTCAATTCTAGCCAGTTTAAGAGTCACCTCAAAGACTTACTTTGTAAAATTATACTATACTTCTCATGAGAAAACGTGTGTGAAACCCCTAACATAGTCGAAATCTCAGGAAATGTTAACTCCCCACCACAGTTGGACGAGCAAGGGCCTTTCTCTGCGACCAGAGATAATTCGCTCACTGGACTTTCCTTCCTTAGTCTTTACTCTTGCTAGAGCAGAATGAATGTGTGTGCTTTCTAGATTTGAAAATTGTACTCTGAAGGAGTTTGGTAAATAAAGAATAGAGTTGCTGGGCGTGATGGCTAACACCTATAATCCCAGCACTTTGGGAGGCCAAGGAGGGAAGATCGCTGGAGCCCAGGAGTTGGACACCAGCCTGGGCCACATAGTGAAACCCTGTATCCACAAAAGAAATTTAAAAATGAGTCCGGTATGGTGGTGCGCACCTGTAATCCCAGCTACTTGGCCCAGTAAGCCATGATGGTGCCTCTGCACTCTAGCCTGGTTGACAGAGT